AGGTGGGTCTGAATGTGGGCACAGAAGCTGGTCCTGAGTGGGCCACTGCTTCCTTTCATAAATCGAGCTGTCCTATTTAAGGTTTCATTGGTTATGATTCACGTTAGGACTGAAGCTAGTCTTTTGCAGTTCCTTCAGGGCTCCATGTGGAACAGAACAAATAGAAAACTCATTGCACAGTTCTGAGTAAGGCTGTGAAGTACAAACAGCCATTAGTCTCTGTGGTTTCAAGGAACACTAAGGGGGAGGGGGCTGTTGGAACACTTAAAACCGGAAAGGAACTAGAAAGCTCTTCCATTTAATATGTCAAAAACCAGCTAAGAAATATGTGACAATCCAGGCAAAGTATTACAATTTCTAGCCAGCCCAGTCATGATTCTCTGGCAAACTGCACAGTCACGGCTGTGAAGCATTGGGATGAGAGGTACTATATAAATGTCAGATGTTACATAAATGTCAGGAATGATTATTGTTTGTTAATGGGGGCTAAACTGTTCCTAAGCAAAGATCCTACTCCCAGCCAGAAAGTTCTTAGCAGAGTTTCAAACCACCAATAACCCACAAGAAAAGTATGCTCATCCCTGGTTCTATAAAGGAACCCAGATGGGATTTGGGGTTGCAAACAGGCTGAGGTAGTCCCAGTGCCACCACCTGCTCATCAGGTGATTTAGGCCAACCCTCTAACCTTCTGGAGTCTGCCTTACTCACCTGTAGAATGGGGACAATTATATTACCATCCTACTTCTCCTTATTGTGCTATATTGTGAGAAACGAGGGAGCTTACATGTTACAAATGCCTTGCAAAGTGTAAGCTGGTTAAGAGCATGACAGTGGTCATCTAGAAGGGAGTGGAAATCAGCCTATGTCTTCCCTTTGATGCTACCTACAAGGCAGAGCTCCTGAAAGAAAATTAAGCTGGCACGATGGTGGCGATGGTCATGGTGACTGGCCCATGCTGAAAACGCCGGACTCCTTTCTCGCTGTAGATCAGGCGCCTAGATCCTGCATTCTGGCCCTGGCTTTGCTGCTTCCCAGCCGGTGAGCTTGGGCCAGTAACCCAGGAGGCTCTGGAAGTGATCGCCAAAGGCCCTTCCGGCTCTGACGCTGAGTCTAAATCAGACTCATCACTTGGCACTGGCTGACATTCACCTTTGCCTTCCGGAGAGACTCTCCCCACAGCTCCTCAGACGCAGGAAGCGGGTGATTTGGAAAGGGTGGGGGCTGTGTATTCCAAGTGAGTGTGCACAATAAGGAAGTTGTTCCCTTGGAGGTGAGGTAGAGTGGGGGTAAGTGAAGAAGGGGTGTAGAGAGAGTGGTCTGAGAAGCCAGCATGCAGAGAACACTGCAATGAGGTCATGACTGTCGCAGGCAAAAGGAGCTGGACATCTTCTGGTGGGGAGGGGAGCGTCTTGCATTTCTAATTGCAGAAAGTCTCTTCCCACTTCCTTCAGCATCCCCTCCCCATCTACCTCCTCCCCACACCCCAAACCTTACACCTTGCAGACCCTACCAGGCCCTGCCCGCGAGAGAGCCCGTGTCCGCTTCTCCTCCGTGGTCCTGTTGAAACCATCGGGATTGTTTCCCAGCTGACTCACACCACTAATGTCAGGGAGCTGTGTCACAAGGCACTGGGCTCTGCAAGCTGTTGCTTGCGCGGTCGCCGCCGCGACTCCCCGCCGGGTGCACCAGGGTCCGCTCGAGGGGCGGGGCCGGGGCGGGGCCCGCCCCCTCGGCGTGCCAGCCCCGCCCATCTCTCCCTCCCTCCCCCGCGGACCGCAATGATTTAGAAGTTCAGGAATCCCACGTGACGTCACCGGGGGGGTGATGTAATGCACTCTAAATAGAATGTATTGTAATCTTTGCTCAGTCCAACGTGGTCCCTTCACCCGGGCTCCGCTCTTGCCTTCTCCACACTTGTTTGGTAAGTTCCTAAAAATACGGCTCGGCCACTTCTGGGGCTTTTGCATTTAGTCACTTTTGTTGCACTTGCCGCGGGAGCCATCTCGGGAGTGTACTTGTTTGCAGGGGTTGGTTCTCGGCAGCAGCCGCGAGGTTACTCGGTCCAATGGGCAGGTCACAGGGCAAGGAGTAGGGAAGATGCGATCCATATTTTTGGAGGGTGATCTGTGTTTGTAAACATTTTGGCGGACCAGAGGGAAGTCCGGCCCCAATTGCTGGTGGACTGTGGAGTTCTGCTGTGTCCTGTGGCCACCCAGAGACCCCACGCTGTGTCTGTCCCGGAGCGCGTCTCGGTGGCCGCTGCGCCGTGCGACTGAGGGATGCTAACTGGAGCCAGCGCCGTGTCCGCCGCAGCGTGCGTGCGTGTGTGGGAGCGCGCGTGAGTTTCCCTGACACGGGGAACAGTTATGAATCGGGGGTGTGTGTTTGCCTCCAGAGACCTGGCAAGGTGCGGAAGTTCCTCCAGAAGTGTGGTCAAGCGGCGGCGGCGGCAGCTGCAGCAGCGGAGACGACGAGCCAGGACCCTCTCCCCCTTCCGCGTCCCCAGCTTCCCAGTGATGCGGAGGAACCCCCGAAGAAAGTTTGCAAACTTCCAGCAGGCGCTGCAAGGACGCCGGGTCACCTAGGGGGCGGACGGGCGAGCGCGCTGGGGCTCGCGCTCTCGCGGGTGCCGAGCCTTGGCTGCCACCTCTCCCGCAGAGCTGCCCGCCGCAGCTGGTGGGAGCGCGCGCCCGGGGACGGGAGGTCGCCCTTGGAGGGTACTTGACTTTCGCTCCAGGCGCTTCAGGTTCGAGAGTGGCCAGGCTCTCTGTCGGCTCGCGTCCACTCCTCCAACCGCCTCCTGCCCCGTCCCTTTCTCGCTGACATCCTTCATTACCTCTTCCTCGCCGCTGCTCCAAGTGACAGCTCCGGCTGGAGTGGTGGCGGCGCAGTTCTCGGCACCCGGCGGCGGCAGAGCCTTCCTCTGTAGCAGATTCTCCACCAAAGCGCTTAAACTTTTCACGAAGTTCTTAGAGGGGCAAGACGCGAAGGAACCCAGGAGATCTTTTCTCCAGGGGGGCTGCACCCCTCTTCTTCCTGGCCATAGATTTATTTCCAGGGTGGGACTGGTAGATAAAGCCCCCAACTTTCCCTCAACGAGTGTCACCCCCATTTGATGCTTGTTCAAGGCCGGGAAACTGGAGTGGGTTGCTTTGTATATTTCGTTGTCAGAGTCTGCAGAGTGTGTTTGAGTTTTTATTTTTCCCTCTCTCTGACATGTGTCAAGGAATAAAGGCTGGATACAGGTCCATTACGTCATTCTGCAGGCCAGTAAGTGTTTGATTAACGGCTTCAGATACTCAGGGTTCAGGGGCTTAGAATGCTGACAAAGCAACTCTGCTTTCCACCCTCATCCCCCAACATACTGCTCGTGCAAATGCCAATTCCCCCGGCATCTTTATTGCCCGACACCCCCCCCTTCTCCACCCCTCCCCCGCCCACATCGTTATCACTCTAGGCCGCCCCCGCCTTTTACAGCTTTCCCTGGGGCAAACGGTGTCCCTGGAGTGTGGGTAAGAGCTTCTGCTGTCTGAGGGGACCGCAGTACCTGACCAGCGCACAATCTGCCCTTTTCTATTATTTAAGAAAGGCACCAGCAAGCTCCCTTCTCCAAGGGCGAAAATGCTCACCCCTAATAGAAAAGGCATCTCAGGAAACGTTTAGAAGCATTATGATAATACTGTGTCCCTGCCGTGACTTAGGAAAACAACACACCCTCAGCAAACAAAGTCCTGTACACAGCGTCTGCTGGAACCGGGTAGTCCTCGACTGAATTCAAAAGAGGAGGAGCTGAGTTAATCAAGTTTAGCTTAAAGGATCAAAATTAGATGTTTTATTTCCAAAGCGAGGGGATGTGAGTTGTTGAATGCAAAGTGCCATCCAATAAATTGCTATATGTGTTACTCTTGATCTTAACCTTAAGTTTCTATACTTAAAGAGGAAGTTAAGTACATAAGTCATTGAATTGATTTAGAATCTCCCTCTCTGGCAGCTGAAATATAAACTCGTTTGTGACTTGTTCAAGGGATTAAAAAGTAAGAAGTACTCTTTGGGGAGTGAGGGAAGTATGCAGTAGAAATTAAAATAAAAATTTTACCAACAGGCTTTTGGATGAAGGGGGAAAGGTTTTGTGTACTCTCTGATTTAGAGTTGGTGAAAGCTAAATAAAGGAAACTATATTCTAAGTAGCTAGGAATTTCTTGAAGAACCCATGTTTTGTGATAATCAGATCTACTTTCTTCAAAGTGAAAGCCATGTTGTAGGGTAGGCATTTGTGAAAACTCCTCTCTGGAGTTTAATTGACATCCCTTCTCCAAGTTGGAGGCAGTATTTATTATTTATTCATATCTAGAGATGAGATAGTATAACCCTACACACAATATGTGTGTGTCAAAAATGTTAAACTTCTTGTTTGTGATGCAGAAACCTAAATGAAAAAATGGTCTGGGTCATGGGCCTTGAAGAGTGTGATTAATGATCAACGATTTAGTGATCAGTGATTAGTGGTTTTATTCAAACTGTTACCTCTGACCAGAAGCACACATCAGAGGATTAACAGGCTCTTTAGATAAATGCTCATTAGTGGAAGGAGAAAAGCAAAGATAATAGGCAGGCACCCAGGGACAACTTTCGAAGAAAATCATTCCTGTCTTCAGAATAATAAGCTCTATTAACAGAAAGCCCTTTTAATTTAAAACTTGCTTTTATCTTGTAAATCAAAGTTAGATTTAAAAGTTTGTAGTGCCATTATAACCTAAATTTTCCCATATCCACTAGATGTGGATTATCGCAGTAGCGATATTTTTTTTATTTAAATAAACAATTGAACCTTTAGAATAGCAGAACCCTGACAAGTTCTTAGCTCCCAGGGTTTGAAGGTGTTCCCCCTTTTTAGGATGGAGATTGCAACTTGCTAACTAGATGGCGTACTGTTATTTGGTGTTCTGTGCTGTGTAGCAGGAGTGTAAACCGAGCATGTAGCTGCTTGCGAGGTGTTCTTCAACACTTAACAACAAAGTTGATTCTGTGTAGGGTTGGAGGCTAGACAGTTCTACAAGTTTTTAGTCACATTTTCCATGTCAGTTAAATCTAGGGAGTTCAAGGCTACTGGAAAAATTAGTCTCATTACTGAAAGAAACTTAGAGAAGGAGGGAGGGAAGGAGGTACAAGAGTCCAGGAGGTACCTTTGGGCTGCAGAAGTGATTGTAAAATACCAGACCTGGTCTTTTCTTTTCTTTCTTTTTCTTTTTTTTTTTTTAAACTAAGAGCTAGTTTCACAATCTTCTGGTCTTAAAACACTGAGGCAAATGCTCAAAGATTTATTTTCTTTCTAATCTTGCTGATGAAAAAGAAGTTACTAGAAAGAAAGGAAGAAAAAATTTGATCTGGTGACTGCAGGAGGCCATACGTTGCTGGTTTTATTCTACAGATAATGGTAAGGTGGTGTTAATTATGCTTATAAGACAGGGAAAGAACTTTGCACTTGGTTAAGTGGGACCAATTTTGTATTAGCATAGACAGAATTGGGAAATGGATTTGTTATTTTGTATGGAGTTTTGCTGATGCTTTTGTTCGTTTTCTGGGTCGTGTAACATTTTGTATGGAAGATTTTGTGTGTATGTGTGTGTGTGTGTGTGTGATTGTGTGTGTGAAGGACGTTCCTTCTGGGGTACAGTGTGTTCATAAGCATGTGAATTGCAGTGGGGAGCTATGAAGAATGTTAAGTATTGTGTCAGGTAAGAATCCCCTTTTGCATGAGCTGTCATGAATCACATCAAGGAGTACTTGAGTTTTAGTGAGAAGGAGTTCTTTAAAAAAGAAAGAAAGAAAGAAACCCGAAGATTAAAAGCAGTGAAAAACAGACAGCCTCACTTCTACATCCAAACCTAGACCTGTACTCCTCTGAAGAAGGATGCTGTTGATTGAATATCAGCTATTGCTTTAATTTTAAAGCTTAAGAACAGTAAAAGAACTGACTGTGTCTCCCCAGAAATTTTTCTCATTTTTCTCCGCTTGAACATTTCCTATAGATGTATGATTTTTAAGTCCTTATAGATTCATATCGATTCTTATTTTTCAACTTTTCTCCAAGTAAACGTTTGCTCAATTGATAGTATCGCCAAACTATTTTTAATATAAATTGCCAATATTCATAAGTTGCCCATCAAATAGAGGTCAGTTGTGACCTTAGATAGTTTATACCTGAGCAAATAGCTTATTAGAATTTCCCCATAAAAAGTAGAAACCATACCTTTATTTCTAATCTCTCTGCGATGTTGCAGTTTTTGTTTTAATACGGGGTTGAATAAATGGTAGTTTGTCAGACACTATCCTGTGTAGTTTTTCAGTTATAAGTAGAATATTTTCCTTATAGCTACTTGTCAGTTTCCCATACATGCAAGTTCAAAACCACCTAATCATGGAGTGTCCATGGCTTTTTGTATCAATATGGGAGTTCTCAGTCTCCTGATTTCCTAGTATAATTTACTTTTTAACAATGAAACATCATTGTCCTATAATATTTCCTTAGCATTAGATTTTCTTCTTATGATGAAAAGTATTTGGTGAATGTATGAAGATCACTGGATACTCATGAAGTGAACTTTGCAGTTTGGTTTTCTCCTGGTTGTATCATCAGATTAAAAATGGAAATTTGAGTGACTTACTGTATTTATCTTCTTTTTTTTCTTCTACACTTCAAAGCAGTGCCGTTAGTCACAAAATTAATGTGATCATGGCTGGTGTTTCCCATCTATATGCTTCTTTTAAATTAGATTTCTACAGCAATTTAAGATCCTGTTTTAGAGACTGCTTTCTTGGATGAAGATGGAACCATGATCTCAGTGATACTCATTATCTTGTCCAGTTTGACTATCAGCTGTATGATGGGAATCAACCCAGGCGTTTATAAGTTAGTGCTTAAAAATGTAAATATAGGACTATTTTTCTGAATTTTGTATAAGAAAATTATGCAGTCGAGATAAGGCAATAAGTGGAGGGTCAGTAGTTTTGAATATTTCAGTGAGAAATGTGCACTTTCATATATGATAAACAAACTTATAGACACCAGAACCTTTTTGTACTGATATTTGTAAACTAAATGAGCTATTCAGTGGCAATGCTGTAAATAGAAAGTCTGGCACTTTACAAATGATATCATATGCAATGTTTTTGCTAAAAATTATTACATTTTATAATTAGGAAAAAATGGGCAATTACTGTTTAGTATCCATTAGTACTCCATTGTTGGGAATCACAAATCAGGGATTCAACTCAAGAAAAAAAAGTTTTAAAAAGACACAAGGCTTTTAGAAATTGCAAAATAGTGATAACACTCTTCCAGAAACACCAGTAAAAATTTTGAGACTCTTAATGAAGGCTATGGGACTTTCAAAATAAAATCCAGAGTTTAGGATAAATTCTTGAATATATAATCTGACATTTAGATATTTGTTTTCTTCCAGGTCCATTCTATTCCCCTCTCCTTGTTTTTTCAAAATAGTTTAGAATGGAGCACTTTAAAAAATGCATATTTCGGTTGTTTTTTTCTATTTCCTTAAGGTTCACAATTGTAATCTCTACCCTAAAATTAACAAGGACAGAAAACTACCATGTCGGCATTTCACTTGAACTTGATCTTGGAGGGAGTAAAAGAACTGTTGGCCTAGATATTCTGATGGTAAGGCAGACACTTGCAGCTTTATGCAGATACTGGAGCTAGTAGAGACCCTCTTAGTCAATGTCTCTGCTTAACAGAGGAGACTCCAAGGCTTGGTGGTGTCCTGTAGCTCACCCAAGGCCCAAAGCCATAGTGCAAACCAGGCCCGGATGCCTGCTTGCTGACTCCAGTTCGGGTTCTCCTTCCACAAGCCAGGTTGCCATAAATGCTCTTGTCACAAATGAAGCACCAGTGAAGGCTCAGGCTGCTTTGCTCTCTTTAAGCCTTTTGACCACTAGTCTTACAAAGACAAATTTTTATCAGATCTTAACTCATTGCCTTGACCGTATAAACCGTAGTTTCTATTCCATTTATTCTTATGTATCCCTAAAATGTTGATTTTTCTAATATTGACCTTCTTAATTGATTTTTAACTTAAAGCCTTTCTTACCATTAGTAGTAGACACACTCTATAAAATGACACCATTCAGATTTCATTTGAGAATAAAAACCAGGCAGAACTAAAAGGTCACCTAGGAACAAAGCAGTGACTTTCTTTATTTCCTATATTTTCTTCATCATCTTTGAGGAAGGGATTGAAAAAATTACTTTAAAGTTCATTTAAATCATCTTTCTTTTGGTGGAATAGAGCAACAAGTGCTTTGTTCACTGTAGCACATGTGCTTTTTGTCCAGGGCAGTACAGGAAAGCATTTGAAGGTGAATGCTACTCTGTAAGAAGTGAGTTGAGTCTGGAAGCAGGCTCTTTTGAGGTTTGACTGACAAAACTTGACTACTTATATGCAACCCAGAGGACTCTGGCACACTGAACATCTTATTTGTACTAGGCTATGCTGTATTTAGGATGGAAGAGTATCTAAATAGAAATGCTGAGCACATCCACTGTATGTGTTGTTTGGCCTGACCCACAGGTCTCCTTTCCAGGCTTTTGAATGAAGGTTTCACATCAGAATTTAGATCACTTTTATTCTTTTATTACACTGAGGAGCCACTATGATTTCTCAAATATAGCACATTTTGACTAGTCTGATGCAATTTTCTCTGCTGGCTTTCCAAAGGGGAAAACATAGGCAAACAACAACAAAATCTTTGTTTTCATTTAAATTTAGCTGAATTTTAAAAGAAATACATTAAATTTACATTTGTCAGGTTTGGTAGAACCATTTCACTTTATCAAAACAAGAATTTTTTCTTTAAGTAACTTTGACTTCTAACGCTAAGGTTGAAATCCATACAGCAGAGGGTAGAAAGCATTGAGGATAAAGTCCACTTTCCCAGATACTCACGTGTGACCTGGTGCATCACTGTGAAGAGGCTGGCTTGCCTGACTGCAGCTACAACATTGTCTACAGAAACAATGACACCTAGGAGAAAAAAAATAATATTCCAGGCCCGAGCTTCTAAACTCTGAGCAGGGAATGATGCTGTGTCAGAGATGGCTTTCAGAATGCTGAGGGCTTTCAGGGTCATTTTCTCAGCTATGACATGGCAAAATGTTCTCTTTATCCATTCTCTGCATTTTCCTTACGCTAATGATTCCCTAGATTTATTTTTTAACATCCATTCCAGCTACTCTGTTTTAAGAGTAGACCCATAATAGCAAATCACAACGTGGACACAACAGAGAGGGACTATTTTTCCATGAGGGAAAAATAATAAATAACAAAACAAATTTGATCCACTCTTACAAGAAACGATTAGTAAGACAGGAGATAGAATTGATGGTATCACAGGTTCTGTCCACTTAGTTCTGCACCAATGTGGATTATGACAAAAAGCAAAATGGGAGACTGTAGGAGTGAATTCTCCAGGTGCTTCCTTGAACACATTGAACTTTTCTGCCTCAGCTTCCTCATTTGTAATAAAGGAACTTTGGTCTCAACCAGCACTGTCTGATAATGGGAGCCACAAATGTAATTTTAAATGTCCAAGTAGCTACATTAAAAAGGCAAAAAGAAACAGGTGAAGTTCATTTTAATAACATATTTTGCTTAACCAATGTATATGCAAAACATCATTTCAATATATAATTAATATAAAATATTAATATTCTTGGTACTACACATTGGAAATCTGGTATGTATTTTACCACTGTAGCATTTCTGGATTTGGACTAGCTGCATATCAAATGCTCAGTAGCCACGTGTGGCCAGTGACTAAGGTAGCAGAATGTGAGTCTGTATCATGGTTCTTAATCCTGGTGGCCCAATGGAATCACCTGTGGAACTTATAAAAATTACTGACACTCCTCCTCCAGAAGATCCTGATTTAATTGGTTTGGGTGTGAGCCTGGGACCCTGTGTTTTTATAAAGCTCCTGAAGAGTTTCTAATGTGTAGCAAAGGTTGAGAAATACTGTTCCGACTGATCTCTAAGGAAGTGTCTCTAATATTCTCTGATTCTATTTAAGGAAAGGGATTGCAGTAAAGCTGTTCATTTAGAGTTCAAGGGCAGCCAGCAGTTGTTATAGCCATGCTGTGCCCTACAAGACACATGTAAGGAAATATAATTAATATAAATTAAAATTTACAGAATAAATAACTTAGAAGATAATTCTTTGTGTCAGACATTAGCTCTGTTTTATGTTAAGTTTCACATCCGGGTACTTTAAATGGCGTGCTTCTCTAGAACCTTCATTGAGGATTTGATTTACGTGCAGCCCCAGGAACAGCTTCCGTTTCAGAAAAGGTCAAGATCCCCTCATTTCAGTTCTTTGGGCTGTTTACTTCTCTGCCCCTGGTACTACTTGCCTTTAGCT